CCTAGACTCTGACAAATTTTTTGGCCTTATTAATCTGTGGAAATACAGACATTGCTTTTTTGTGGCTTTTGTTAAAGGGATCATGATTGCGCAACCTAATTGAATTCATATACTAATTTTTCCTTTCTGTTATTTATGAATAACAATAGCTTCTCTCTTTTTGGGGGGAAATAATTAAAGTTTTTTTCTTCCCAAAGAATAGATTGGTAAAAAGAAAAAAAAGAAAAAAAGAAGAAGGCTATATGCTTATAGACAATGAGTAAGAGGCATAATTTACACATCCCTCAGTCTCAACATCTATGCATTTCTGGAATCTTGATTTTCAGGAAACATTAGCAATAGCAATAGCACTTAGACTTATACACCACTTCACAGTGTTTTCCCGTCCTCTCTAAGCAGTTTACAGAGTCAGCATATTGCCCCCAACAATCTGGGTCCTCATTTTACCCACCTCGGAAGGATGGAAGGCTGAGTCAACCTTGAGCCTACTGAAATTCGAACTGCCAAACTGCAGCTAGCAGTCAGCTGAAGTAGCCTGCAATACTGCACTCTAACCACTGCACCACCTTGGCTTAGGTGCCGTAAAGCAATCACCTGATAATCAAGTGAAACTTATATCTAGGAGGTTACAAGTACAGCTTCATTAACCACTTTAATGAATATTTACCGATATGCAAAAAGTGGACTAATAAATGAGAATATTTCTAGCAGAGTTGAAATGAGGGGGTCCTTGGAGCTCTCTGACTCAACTGGTCTAGGAGAGATCCCACTTTATTTTTTTGTTTATCTAGGCCAGCTTCTGCAAACTGGTTTTCTCCATGTGTGATAGACTAAAACATGTGGAGAGCAGCCAATTGGGGGAGTCTTCTCTAGACAATGTCATATCATGCTGCAGCTTTACTTTCTTGAAATATTCTATGTGTCCTGTTGGATCCTTACACCTACCTTCTTTCTCCCATATCAGCAATTGATCTTGGTCACGTGTTGTACTCCCAAGGACCTCACGTGGCACAGGCTCCATCATTGCATCCATGCTTTCCTGCCCTGGTAAACGGCTACTATCTAACATGGCTTTTTTGAAAGCCTGGTCCAGCTCCTTGAGATCCATGGTGTTTAATTCTTTATAGAGTTCTTGTTTTTCTAGCTCATTTAATTCTTCCCAAAACTGAAGGAGGTGGCTTTGTCCTGCTTCAGCCAAGCAGCGCTGGAGTATATTGATGTCGCTGTCCATGACCCTGCATGAGAGAGAAAAAATGTATTTTCCTGTAATTCGCAGAGCCACTGAAATGATCGTGTATGCATTTGCTGGGTAAAAGCATTCAAATAATCTGGCTTTGCAACACCTGTGCATATAAAAGTTTAACAGGGTTAAAAGTCAGCTGTGCTGCAGTGACTTATCAACATGGTTCTGTGTAAGTTCGTATACTATCCTAGTCGTATTTAATGCATCTTACACTTAGGTAGAATTGACTTAGGTAATATACTTATTTATATTAATGGCATTTATATTAATGACATAAATGCTATTTATATTAATGTTTAAGAAATACACATCCCTCAGGATCACTCCTCTTTTCCTTAGGTTAGAATGCCCCATGCCATGTAATAACTTAAATAAAATTAACCGACGTAACCACAGGAGCTTGTTTTAAAGACCAACTTTGAAATAGCATACATAGAATTAGAAACACAATGACAGTATAGAACAGTGTTTCTCAACCTTGGCGACTTNTCTATCTATCTATCTATCTATCTATCTATCTATCTATCTATCTATCTATCTATCTATCTATCTATCATTTATCTCTTATTTCCGACCAATTTATCACCCACAATTGCCTTTCTCACTTTATGATATGTGCAGACAGCAACATGCTAGAATTACATAGAAATATGTGGAAGCCAACTTTCCTTACATTTTGGCTGCCTGCCCTGATAACTGTTTTGTGAAAACACTAGATAAAGTGTTCTTTGGCTAAAGAAATAAGTGGGTAAGACTTGTTCACTTTCCCCTAGCAGTTCTCTCTCTGATGACTGTGAAGTCTCTCTCCGATTCTGTGGATTCTAAGATATGACCAATAACAATGAAATTATGAGATGATAGCATTAATGCAAACTATTTAGGACAGACAAATGAATATAAAACAGATGAGAGTCAGTTTAGTATAGTGGTTAACTCTCAGGCTAGAAATAAGAGAATATGAGTTCTAGTCCTGCTTTGAGCACGAAGCCAAGTGGTTGACCTTGGGCCAGTCACTTTCTCTTAGCCCTAGGAAAGAGGCAATGGCAAATCACTTCTGAAAAAACCTTGCCAAGAAAACTGCAGGGATTTCTCCAGGCAGACTCTGAGAATTGGACACGATTGAACAGAAGAAGAAGAAATGTGGCAGATAAAGGAAGATCTAAAGCTAGATATATTGAAATCTCCAATGAAAATGTTAGGGAAATGGAAATTCACAATGCAATCCAAGTCTTTAAAATCAAATATAAAAGGAGCTCAGAATTAATAATAGGAAATAAATAATAGCGGTTTATGCAGCAATTTTAAAGTACATCAGAAAATATTGGCTGCTATCGCTAAGCACATGGAGAAAAGGATAAGAAAAGAAGTAAAAAAAAATTGCAAATCTGCTTGAGTGAAAATCTGTTTCTGGAATTTCAGTTATAAGCAGCTTGTGCCGAGAGTTGTTCCAACTCAAAATTTGGTTTGCTGCTCCTTCACAACATCCTTTCTTTTGGTTTTTCTTCTCTTCAACAAGTTGAACAAAGGAGCTTTTCAACCAGATTTCATACAGATTCAAGATGCTGTATGCTAGTCTTTCTAGAACTAAAAGAAACCTTTATATAAAAAAAGGCATTACAAGGAAATTGTGCTAACCAAAGGAAAGACAAAACCCCACAGAGGCTTTTTATAGTGTGCCTAAATTTCTGAAGTTTCTGTGCTTTGGAGAAAATATTTTTCATTTCTTTTTCTTGAGCTTCTCAATGAGATGTTCAAATAGTTTTTGTTGGGTAAGCAATTATTGATTCAATAATACCTACATGTGGCATCAGGTATTGATTGTTATACTTAAAATGAAAAAAACCCACTTATTGATGTCATTTTACATTTTTCATGACCTAAAATGGCAATGCTCATGAAATGATTATAGAAATCCCTATTTCACAGGTAGTCCTTAACTTACAACAATTTTTTTAGTGACAGTTGGAAGTTAAAATGACAGTGAAAAAGGGACTTATCACCATATTTCACATTTACGACCCTTGCAGCATCCACACAGTCATCAAAATTCAGATGCTTGACAACTGGCTCATATTTATGGTGGTTTCAATGTCCCAGAGTCATGTCATCTTTTGTGACAAGCTACATCCGTGGGGAAGCCAGATTCTCTTAACAACTGTGTTACTAATTTAACAACTGTGGTGATTCATTTAACAACTGTGGTAAGAAATATATAAAATGAGGCAAAACTCACTTAACTGTCCTGCTTAGCAATGGAAATTTTAGGCACAGTTGAAGTTGTAAATCAAGGACTACCTGTAGATTGGAGCCTTAAAGCAACTTTAAGCAAGTTTCCCCTAAACTGGTAAAATATTAATTTAGTTCATTTACGGTATATAACTGCCCATCTCAATAAATGAGTATAGCTGGCTGGGGAATTCTGGGAGTTGAAGTCCACCTATCTTAAAGTTGCCAAGGTTGAGAAATAGTGCTTTAAGAGATTATTGATCTCAGGTCACTTCCTTCTGCCTTTATTTCCAATCATGCATACACAAAACACATGCGGTTAACTCCTCTTGGTAGGATGTAGTAATATGGATGCTTTGCCTATCCATATACTATATTTCTTACAAGTAAATTTCCTTTTGGTTATAGTTATAACTTACTTCATTAATCCTTGCTCGGGTTAAATGCTCATACAGAAGCAGGCTCATGCGTGCACACACAGCATTCTTCCTCTTCCAATCATTTAAAATGGCATCTGGCCAGAGCTAGCATTGAAATACAGTTTTGCAAATATTCATCAAAATGCCCTGCCATTTCTTTCCCTATAAATAGGGCTTCACATTTTCTTAGTATTTAATATTATTTTAATACTATTGAAGGAAAAAAGGGGCTTGTCCACAAAACTTTGCTCTCTTAGTTTAGTGCTTTCATTTATTCATCAAGGGAGGAAGTGAGAGGAGTTTCATTCCATAATAAAAGGGCCACAGTTTCTCAGTCCAAGCTGTTATTTATAGCTGCAAGATTTAAATATCAAGCCAGATGGAAATTTTCATTCTCGAAATCATTTAGAAAAAAAATCCTCCCCTTCACCACTGCTCCCGACTTTAGTTTCCACTTAAAGCTTTGAAATTATGAGAGATAATTTTTTGCTCAACTAAGAAAAGAATGTAGGTTACATAAAACCTTTTCTGTGAACATAATGGATCTGTTATCCTTTTTCTGCCATCACCTGCATGTCCTTTCTCAGTATGTGTTTTGTTTCTTTTTTTATCGTACCAACTCTGAACATAATCATTTGGGACACAGTTGGCAATTAGCATCACTTCCAAGTGAATTAAGGTGAGCAACCTGATTGATGCTTTGTGGGTTTGATCAAGAAATGTGATTTGTACAGTTTGTTTTATGACATATGACATACATTGCCTTTAGAAACAACAATAGTGTAACAACAATTTTCTGGTTTTCTAAAAAACATTAATTCCGTTCAGCACTCTATTGATAAATATTATGATAACTGAAGTATTTTCATTTAATGGAACTATTCTTTTAAAAAAGAAACTAAGATAACTTCTATTGCCCTAAGTTAAAATGGAATGTAATCAACACAAATACAAAAACCAGAACAAATTCTGAGGAAGCTAACATTACTTTCCCCTTACAGAATTTTGTGTTCATGAATCCAATAATTACAATTCAGTGAAGCAACAACATTGTCCTATTTTCCTTTGCCTCAGCAACTGAATTCCTGTTTAGTTCTACATTTAAAAACAAAGAACAAAGAACCAGTTTGCTACTTACAGAATCTCATCAAAAGATAACTGTGTAACTCTCTCTGCTCCATCTCTGACTGCCTAATAGCAAAAGGGTTGGCTGCTCCTTGTACTTGGAACCCTAATAATGCTGGGCACCTATTTGCAGGATCATAGAACATAGAATAATAAAGTTGGAAGGGACCTTGGAGGTCTTCTAGTCCAACCTCCTACTCAAACAGGACACCCTATACCAGGGGTGTCAAACACAATCATCAGGGTTGTGTTTGAACTCAGGGGGGCGAGTGGGCATGTCTGGGGTGGGCATGGCCAGTGTGGGCATGGCCAGCCTGACATCAGCCCTCTGGATCTGAAAACGGAGTCTGGGAAGGCCGTGTGCGACCCTCCCTGGGTCTGTTTTCCCTGGCAATGGACTGCAGGAGGCCATCACAGCCAAAAATGTAGCCTCTAAGGGCCACACGCCCTCCGCTTTTGCTGGCAAGCTCTGTTTTTGCTGGCAGAGGGCTGCAGGAGCCTGTCACAGCCAAAAACAAAATCCGGGAGAGCCACGCGCAGCCCTCGCAAGCTCTGTTTTAGCTGGCAGAGGTACTGCAGGCCAATCCTTCACTGTTTCCAGGGTGGCCCCGCTGGCCAGATCTAACCACCCCGCGGGCTGGATCCAGCCCACGGGCCTTGAGTTTGATACCCCTGCTCTATACCACTGCAGAGAAATAGTTCTCCAAGCTCATTCTAAAGGTGTTCAAACTCTATGATTTTGCTTTACACAAGGAATTCAGGATGAAGCTCATCCATCTGGGGATATTGTTAACTGCATTCATTTGCCCACAATTCCCCTGCCTCTTCCCATGCTGCCAGAATCTGGGCTTCAGTCTCAGTGTTTTTGCACATTGTTAATAAGTATGATAAACCAATAGCGTATATATTTAATATAACAGAGGTATTTAATAAATAAAACAGAAATAAGTCTAGCTGTTTGTCATAATTGCTATCAATCAAATGCAACCAATGACCATCTTTTTTCCCCTCCACATTGTATGTTGGATATTTGCCCTTGTCTAATGGAGTGGTTAAATAAGATATACGTTAATTTGAAGAAAACCAATGAGCTGGGCCAAATTTATTTTTTCCCATGAGAAAATATCTGTTACAAAAGCAGGTGCCTGATCCATCTAATTCAGGAATGCCCATTTTGAGTGGCAAGGCGCCAGGCAGTTGGATACAGATCAGGCCCATCTTCCAAGATCTCTACAGAAATCCT